CCAATCACCTGAGCCTGTGACCCATTACCTACCTGCAGAAACGAATGCTAATGTAAATTTCTCCTCTTACCTGCCAGAGTGCTGATCCTTATCAAGTCACTTATATTCTTTGCTCAAGCTTCCTTCTTTGTAAAAATGGCCCCTGCTTCATGAGACTGAAACTATTCATAAGATCACCTTACTGAAGTGTTTGCATTTCCTCAAAAGGAAAGTATAACAGAAAGTCAGTCTATTTATCAGTAATCTATCAGGGCACTGATTTCCAGTTGCAGTACTTGCTTTGTTATTCATTCATTTTCTTTCCTCAGAAATTTAATAGACTTTATCTAAAAGGTCCCAAGTCCTTCCTGTATGGCAGCACCAGAGTTATTTGTATAACATTTAATATTTAGCCAACCCTGTATAATTTTACTGTTTATTTTTCTCCTAGCAACCCAAGGTAGGTCCTTACTATCAGACCCTTCTTAGAAATGGAGAAGCTGAGGCCCCAAATGCATACACAATTTACCACGTGTAGCTACCAGCTATCCTTACTCTACTAGTCAAATGAGAAGTCATCTTGTTGAATAAAATTTTGAACTTCTTTTTTATTTTATCCAGCTACTGGATGCTAGTTCCAGGAAGAATTTAGGCTATCATCAAAGTCCCACCTAGGATTTAAAATAGTCCTCGCCATTACTTTTTCTCCCCATCTAAAACATACGACAGATTTTTTTTTTTTTTCTTGCTAAAAAGCCTAGAAGCACAAGTCTCCTCTAAATAATCAGTGGTTCCTATTACTGACCAAATCCAGTATAAACTCCTTACTCTGGCATTCCAGATCCCACCCCCAGCCCCCTAGTTCTCTAGACACAGCCTCCCCTTTTTAAGTTTTGGCTCTTATTTCACCTGTACATATACTCTATGTTCCAGTCAAGCACACAATGTCCATTTTCTCTGCCTTCATTCACTCATTGTGTATTTATTGGAATTCCTCCTGTATGTCAGGTACCATTTTAGGCATTGGCCATTGCGGGGGAAGACAAGATAGAGTATCAGTGAAGGGCGTGGTCTATACCAATGGCTTTCAAATGTTCTGTCTATAAAATTATTTGTTCAAAATAAACCTACTCGGAAGACAAGTATTTAAACACATATAGTGAAAATTGCTGTGGATGAGGTTAGGATGACCTCATTTTCCTCCTCCTCCATCGGCTCCTTCAGGGGTTCTATCAAATACCTTGAATACCCTTGATCCTTGTATATTATGCTTGGAAACACACACACACTCACTTCTCATAAACGTTGAATTTTTCCAATTTTTAGCCAACTGCTTTTTGTGTTTTGTCTTTCCTCAGTCATATGCTTCTTTATGTAAACCCTGGGCCTAATTTTATATGATAGCAGTTGTATTCCTACAAAATACTTTTTTTTTTTTTTTTTACAAACTCAAGCATGAATTAAGTGTGCTGTGAGTCAGCTTATTTATAGGCAAGCAGTTCGGTAAATTCTCATATTAGAGATGTGAGGTGCAAGCGGAACAAGCCTATAACAGTACCGCAGCTTCTGAACAAATCAAGTATGTTCAGTTTCCTTGTATTTTGTGTATTAACAATTCTGTATAAGACTTTGGAAACCCTAGTGGTGTGGTGGTTAAGAGCTATGGCTGCTAACCAAAAGGTTGTCAGTTCGAATCCACCAGCTGCTACTTGGAAACCCTATGGGGCACTTCTACTCTGTCCTGTAGGGTCGCTATAAGTCAGAATCAACTCAGTGGCAACGGGTTTATATAAGACTTCAGAAAGACTCTATAATAAAAATTCTGTACAGGTGCAGGTAAAATAGGAATAAATGAAGTTCTAATTTATAAATTGCTTGAAAGCACAGAAGTTATTTTTAATTTACATGCACATACATATTTTCCTTTTAATTATTTTTGTTTACTAAAACGCTTGTAAAAATAAGGTAGATTAAAGGACTATCAAGTAACATTCATAAAAGTTTAATTCTAAAAGCAAAGTTATCTACACACTTCTATAGCACTAAACAATTTTGGGAATTAAGATTTTATTTTTCTTTAAGCGTTTATCCATGTATTTATGTCTTGAAAGTCTCAGGATTATTGATATTAATACAGCAGGAACTTGTGTATTTGTGTATGTATATATTTTCATGCAAGTATCAACTGTAAACAAAGATGGTGTATTCAGAGAGAAGCAATGGCTAGAAAAGGGGAAGAAGTTTGTCGCTTAGGGTAATATGTAACACTTGCAGGGCCCTTATTTTGCCAGGCACTGGTCTTAGTACATTACAGATGTTAAGTCATTTATTCTTCCAAACCATTCCTTGCAGTAGCAATCAATTTATACTAGTTTACCCACCCATAATCCTATTCCACACTTTAATCTGAAGAATCATCTCATTCAACACTACAGAGCTTTTGCTCAGCGTGCTCAGTTCCATGGAGACTGGATTTCGTGCTTTATGCTGTGCCATGAAGTCTACAGACCCTTACACCTCTGACTTCATCTCTTACTCTCTCCTCCTCCAACTCACTCAGGTCTAGTCAAATGGCCTCTTCCACCCCATGGACGCTCCTGAATTAGTGTTTTTGCCCTTGCTCTTTTCTCTGTCTAGCTAGTCCCTTTCCTCCTTCTCTGTGAGGTCTTCCCTAAGTACCATATTTAAACTTAGAAACACCCAACACCAACACTCCCCATTCCCCTTGCTTACTTTATTTTCCTTTATACTGTGTACCTCCCTCTAACATACTATATGGAACTCCCCTGGGTGTTGCAAACAGTTAACTCTCTCAGCTGCTAACAGAAAGTTTGGTGCCTTGGAAGAATGGCCTGGTGATCTACTTCCAAAAAATCAGCTATTGAAAACTCTATGGAGCACAGTTCTATTCTGACACATGTGAGAGTCTCCATGAGTTGCAGTCAACTCAACGGCAACTGATTTTAATCCACTATATATTTTACTAACTTACTTTATGGTCTGCTTCTCAGCACTAGAATGTAAGTTCCATGAGGCAGGACTTTTTATCTGTTTTATTCATTGCTGAATCTTCTGTGCCTAGAAAAGAGCCTGGAAATGGTAGGCATGTCACAGATTTTTGATTGAATGAAGTTTCCTTCACCTTTACTAATGATTCATCACCACTAAAGACATTCAAGCATGCATGGAAGTGTGTGTATGTATGTACATGTGTATATACATGTATATGTATATATATGCATACACACACACATCCCTGGATAGTATATTAGATATCTTAAGAATTTGGTTAGTATTAAACAGTGTTCTCTTGGAATAAATGTGGCACATCCTGGGAAAATACTAACTCATCCTCTATCTTCTCAGCTTACTTTCTTAGGTGTTTACACTAAAACTAAACAAAACAAACAAACTCATTGCCATTGAGTCGATTTCAACTCATAGCCACCCTAAAGGACAGGGTAGAACTGCCCCATATTGTTTCCAAGGAGTGGCTGGTGGATTCGAACTGCCGACCTTTTGGTTAGCAGCCAAATGCTTAACCACTGCACCACCAGGGTGATGCATGCATATCCTGAATGTTATCATTTCTCATTCCAAGGATAAGTATATAAAAGCAGAAAATAGAGGATGTCTTCTACATCAAAAGAAAGAATTCTGGTGATATTATCATTCCTTCCACCCTGAATCAGGCACCCATCTGCTACCGGGCGCAATTGTGATCACCACCTGCCTCAACCCAGGTTTGCTGTCTGCTCCCCACCCCGCTCACTTCCTTTCTTCAGTCTCCTTCTCATCCATCAATATGAGTAAAGCCAGGGCTGGCTCCACCATGACCTTAAATAAAGTCACTCCCATGTCACCATGGCAATAATCAGCCTTTGGACAATATGCTGCTCCACTGGGTCTTCTTTTCCAGGGAACAAATACTGAGTAAAAGTAATCCCTGAGAGTCTGCATTAACGAAAATCAGTTCAAAACTGGATTATGCAGGAGACCGAGTTACTTTTATACTTGACTCACCTCAATTTACAGTTCCAGGGAGCATTCAGAAGTATCAAGTAGGTTAGGAAAAATGGTTTTGGACGAGATAAGGGAACTAAAACAGAGCTCTACTGAAACTAGGGCCCCTGGGAAAAGAGGAACAGAAAATTCTATCCAGTGGCCAAGAAACATGTCTCTTTCAGAGACCTAGGAAAGCAAACCGCAATAAAACAAAACAAAACATTCTCCTGTGAAAAACAAAACCCTAGGCCTGTCCTGTGTGTCAGCATGGAAACTAAGTTTACACTATCCTCATTGTTAGGGAATTTTCTAGAGGAGCGCAATTAACATAAAAATGGCCCTGGACCAGAGATACCACCTTGACCTCCTACAGAAAAATAATTTCCATGGAATAATCCCTATGGAAGATGAAGCCAAGTAAAAAGTATAGACTATTTTAAGAAAAATATCCCACCAAGAGACAGTCAACAAGCAAAACAGTGTTAGCTCTCCCTCCCTCATCAAAGGTAGAATGCTATAAAAAATAAACAGGGGGATTGAGAAAGAACCCAAAAAAAACTTCTAGAAATAAAAGATAAACTATTACAGTTTTTTTTAATGATCAGAATATGTTGTTGTTGCTGGGTGCCGCCAAGTTAGCTCCCTGCTTGTGGTGACCCCATGCACAATGGGACTAAATGCTGCCCAGTCCTGTGCCATCCTCATGATCAGTTGCAGATCGGGCTTAAGGATCAGACCCTTGTGATCCACAGGGTTTTCCTTAGCTGATTTTTTAAGTAGATTGGCAGGCCATTTTTCTTAGATCAGAGTATACCAGGTCTATAAAATGGGGTGGCGAAAGTGGAACATCACCCTGATGCTCTCTGGGAGGAACTCATTCCATTATCATTCTGTAAAAGGGAAACTTTCCCAGAATGTCAAAAGGACAACACTCTGCCCAATTCTAGCACTGAGAAGGTGCGGTAGTAATTCTCTTCAGGATCCCAGTGGCATTGTGCCAACAGAAGAAAGATACATGAAAGCCCTGCCCCCACTCCGGCTTACACAATTTCTTGTTACAACAGCACTGTGCCTAGTGAGCATACAGGCGTCCTTGGAAGAGAAGCTTTGAGGATATCAAGCCTGGTTGCTGGAACAGATGCTGAAGTTCCGAGGACCCAGGAGCCTTCAGGGTCATGTGGTTATGCGGAGGAGGCACTGTCTTATTTTCTTTTCTCTTGCATTAAGCACTGGGTACAGGTATGACCCTGGAACTACTTCTTTCTGGGACAAGACACACCAAACAATGCATGCCTGTGGCCGTATCTTTAACGCTGACCTGTGGTTGGAAGTAAAATATGAAAAAAACTCTTTGTACTTTTCCAGCACCCTATAATTCTGGCAATTAGCTGGCATAAACTGGCCCCCTGGGCACCACTTTTGTATTGGTAACTTCCTTCTTCGGAGCTTAATAAATCCTTGTTGGGTTATTGCCTAACCTGAAATGTTCCTCCAGAATGCTTTGGAGAAGGGGAAATGGCCACAAAATCAAAACCTCAGAATGGTGTGCAAAGTTCCCTCGCTAAAGCTGTCATTTTTAAAAATTGCGTACTAGTCTTGATCTTTAGTTCTACTGAAACCTGTAGTGGTTCTGAGTGACAAGATGTCACAGAATGTACTATTGTTTCTAATATGATATGCTTTGGCAATTAGGGCTTTCAAGTTTAATGTTTCTTGGAGCATATATGCCAGGATAAATATTATATTACTTCATACATGGTCTCTGGTTTACTGTAGCTCAGAGTATGTAGTTAGTCAACAAAGGTAGACGTTTTGCCAAAATTCAGTAGTGTATAGTGTTCAAAATGGTTTAAAACAAACCTACAAACAATAGAAATATAGATTTCATTTTTATTTATAAAAGTCATTTAAAAAAAAATTCTGCCTTAAAATTTATGCCTTAGTTAATAACCTCCAAGCCATTCTTTTAGGTCCTGTTGTATACTTTGGAGCCCTGGCAACATAGTGGTTAAGAGCTCGGCTGCTAACCAAAAGTTCAGCAGTTTGAATCCAGCAGAGGCTCCTTGGGGTTGCCTATGGGGCAGTGCTACTCTGTCCTCTAGGGTAGCTATGAGTCAGAATCAACTTGACGGTGATGGGTTGGGTTAGGTTAGTGTCTTAGTCATCTAGTGCTGCCATAACAGAAATACCACAAGTGGATGGTTTTAATGAAGGGAAGTTTATTTCCTCACAGTCAAAGGAGGCTAACAGTCCAATTTCAGGGTGTCAGCTCCAGGGGAAGGCTTTCTCTCTCTCGGCCTTCTCATCAGTGTTCCCCCAGACTAGGAGTTTCTCGGCGCAGAGACCCCGGTCCAAAGGACGCGCTCTGCTCCTGGCACTGCTTTCTTGATGGTATGAGGTCTCCTTGTCTCACTGCTCACTTCTGTCTTTTACATCTCAGGAGATTGCCTCAGGACACAATCCAGTCTTGTAGATCAGGTCCTGCCTTACTAACACAACTGCCACCCATCCTCCCTCATTAACAACACAGAGGCAGGTTTACAACACACAGGAAAATCACACAGTACCAGGAATCATGGCCTAGCCAAATTGATACACACGTTTTTTGGGGGACATAATTCAAACCATGACAGGTTGGATTTTATATACTTTTCTGTAGTCCAGTAGTACAAAACTACCTAAATGACTCTAACTGACAAAATTATGCGGGACAAGCTTATGATAAAAGCTGACAAGTGATGCTGAAAGAAAATTGGTCTAATCGTGGCGACCAATTCACTGCAAAGAATAAAGAAAAAATAGAACATAAGACGGTAGCAAATTACATTTTGAGAATATCATGTTTTATAAATTAGCACCATGATAAAACTTCAAAAATCATAGCTATAGTTATTTATAACAATTTAAGACAGATACAAAAACGTGCGCTTTCAAAATTTTTTATGATAATTTTCACAGCTTTACTTCTTTATTTCCTTCCCCATCTTCAAGAAGTCACTAATCCCTTTTTTCTAAACTAATCTAAGCTGTAAATGATACACATTTAGGACAGGCCATGTAAAATTCTTTTGAAATCACTATGAGGAAATAAAGATTTTCATTTAAGAGTATAAAGTGAGCTTAAGTAGGACTAGCAAAAAAATCAGCTGAGAATAATTTTCAAATCATGAATAAGATGTCAATATATTCATTAGAAATTAAAAAGAAAAAAGTTCCTATGCATAGTTAAACCAAAACCCCTTGCCATCAAATTGATTCAAACTCAAAGTAACCCTATAGGACAGAATAGAACTGCTCCATAGGGTTTCCAAGGAGCAGCTGGTGGATTCAAACTACCGACCTCTCGGTTAAAAGCCAAGCTCTTAACCACTATGCCACCAGCACTCCTATACATAGTTAGCTGCTTAAAATCTAAAAACCATGCTAGTGTTAATTACAGTATTTTAAGCTAAGTGACCTTAATGATTCCATATGAAAATCTGAATATCCGTATTTCCTACCCTGGATAAATTCAGATATCCCTCAAACCATCTTTGTAGCCTCAAGAAATTCACCAAATTCATCAAATGGTTTAACATTATAGCAATTGGTTGGTAGATTTACTTATACTAAATGAGTCTTTTATTTGACAATCCAATGTAAAATGGGAACAATAGAAAACTGGTTTAACTGTAATTAAGATACACTTCTAAAATTACATCCTATGTATTCACTGAATTGGAACTCATTTTTTCTCTAACATGCAGAGCCTAAAAGCTTATAAATAATAGACAAATATGGTCTTTTACTATAAGCACAGATTAGAGGAAATGCAACGTGTTGAACACAGCAAAGCTTAGTCTTGAAATGCTGACGAGGTCTTAAAGAAATCAGGGAGAAAGTAAATGGGACAAGTTTCCTCTGTTTGCTTTCTGGGCTGATCTATTGCTGAAGACTATGAGAATAAAGTTACTACAGAATGAGTCAGATGGGAAACATGCAAACAGAAGACTATTGAGAACATAAGTACGTGTTATTCAATCATTGGTACTTAATTTTAAGCAATAAACATAAAAATTGGATAATGCAAAGTGTCCCAAAAGGATCAATTTATGAAAAACAATAAGTGATTGTATTTCTTTACATAACAATAATTGCAGCTTGTTTTTTGAAAACCCAGATATTGGTTTGTTTTTTTGAAACCCAAGCTCTAATTTTTGAAACCAGAGAAACAATATAACAGAATCAATTGGAATAAAAGACACATTCAATTGGTATAAAAGACACACACAAGCATATTCACTAAAGGCAAGTTTGGAATCATAGATCACAGAAAGGATATTTTGATATCCCAAGAAATTTATTCAATTATATACACAAAAAAATTGTTATCTTGAAAAGTTACTTATTACTCTTCAACTACTTTCCTTTTGAGCCCATTTGTTTAATAGTAAAACATGTTTTCTGTTGTGAGTTCAAAAGACTTAAAAATTTTTTTTAATTTTATTGTGCTTTAAGTGAAAGTTTACAGTGCAAATTAGTTTCTCATTCAAAAATTTATACACAAATTGTTTTGTGACATTGGTTGCATTTCCACAATGTGTCAGCACTCTTCCCCTTTCCATCTCATGTTCCCTGTGTCCATTCATCCAGTTTTCCTGTCCCTTCCTGCCTTCTCGTCTTTGCTTTGGGCAGGTGTGGCCCATTTGGTCTCCTATACTTAACTGAACCAAGAAGCACATTCCTCGTGTGTGTTATCGTTTGTTATATAGGCCTATCTAATCGTTGGCTGAAAGGTGGACTTCGGGAGTGGCTTCATTTCTGAGTTAGCGGGGTGTCTGGGGGGCCACAGTCTCGGGGGTTCCTCCAGTCTCTGTCAGACCAATTAGTTTGGTCTTTTTTTGTGAATTTGAATTTTGTTCTACATTTTTCTCCGGCTTTTTTGGAACCCTCTATTGTGATCCCTGTCAGAGGGGTCAGTGATGGTAGCCGGGCACCATCTAGTTCTTCTGGGCTCAGGGGCTGGTGGAGGCTGTGATTCATGGTGTCCATTAGTCCTTTGGACTAATATTTTCTTTGTGTCTTTGGTTTTCTTCATTCTCCTTTGCTCCAAACAGGATGGGACCAATAGATGTATCTTAGATGACTGCTCGCAAGCTTTTAAGACCCCAGATGCTACTCACCAAAGTAGGATTTAGAACATTTTCTTTATGAATTGTATTATGCCATTTGACCTAGATGTCTCCTGAGACTATGGTTCCCAGCCCTCAGCTCCAGCAACTCGGTCCCTCAAGGTGTTTGTATGTGTCTAGAAAGCTTCTATGACTTTGCCTTGGTCAAGTTGTTCTGACTTGCCCTATATTGTATGTTGTCTTTCCCTTCACCAAAGTTAACACTTGTCTACTATCTAATTAGTGATTTCCCCTCCCCACCCTTGTAACCATCAAAGATTATTTTCTTCCTGTGTGTAAACCTTTTCTTAGGTTTTTATACTAGTAGTCTCATACAATATTTGTCCTTTTGTGATTGACTTATTTCACTCAGCTTAATGCCCTCCAGATTCATCCCTGTTGTGGGATGTTTCATGGACTTATCATTGTTCTTTATCATTGCATAGTATCCCATTGTGTGTATGTACCATAATTTGTTTATCCATTCACCTGCTGATGGGCACTTAGGTTGTTTCCATCTTTTTTGCTATTGTGAATAATGCTGCAGTGAACATGGGTGTCCACATGTCTATTCATGTAATGGCTCTTATTTCTCTAGGATATATTCCTAGGAGTGGGATTGCTGGATCATATGGTATTTCCATTTCTAGCTTTTTAAGGAGGCACCATATCATTTTCTACAGTGGTTGTACCGTTTCACATTCCCACCAGCAGTGCATAGGAGTTCCAATCTTCCCGCAACCTCTCCAACATTTATTATTTTCTGTTTTTTTTTTAATTCATGCCAGTAATGTAGGGATGAGATGGTATCTCATTGTAGTTTTCATTTGCTCGTCCAATAGATTAAAATTTATGGGTTTTGGCTTCTTAGAGAAAATCCCACAAAATTTGAAGTATTATATGATGTAGTATAATGTGCTATATTTACCATGATAATATTGATATATATTTATTTCCATATTGCTTTGGTATTCATGTATTGCTTTCCCTTTTACAAAACACCTACCATTTCAGCATACAGATGGCCAGATAAATAAGAGAAAACTCTCGTCCACACAGGGATCTTTTTACATTTGATAGGAAATAATG